CATCGTAAAACCCCTCCACAACTTAACCTCCGGCTACCCACCTCTCCACAAGAAATCAAAAGCAAAACCAGCAAACATAAGACAGAACACGGATCAATACCATGACCCAAAAAAGCCCTTCGGAAGTCGCTGGACGCCAGCTTGCCAGAAAGCCTTTGAGACAGTCATCCACAGCCTCACTACTGCTCCTGTATTAGCCTTTGCTGACCCCCAGAAACCCTACATACTGCACACTGACGCCAGCACCACCGGGCTTGGTGCTGTGTTGTATCAGGAGCAAGAGGGCCAACTTAGAGTCATAGGCTATGCAAGTAGAGGGCTGTCACGAAGCGAGAGCCGCTATCCAGCGCATAAGTTAGAGTTTTTAGCACTTAAGTGGTCAGTAACAGAAAAGTTCAGCGACTATCTTTACGGCAACCACTTCACTGTTGTAACGGATAGCAATCCGCTGACTTACATTTTGACTTCAGCAAAACTTGACGCGACCAGTTATAGGTGGTTAGCAGCACTGTCCACATTCTCATTTAAACTTCTCTATCGTCCAGGAAGGCAGAATGGAGATGCGGATGGATTGTCCCGTCGACCACAAGGGGTGCTAGCAGATGACCTGAAATCACAAAAAGAGAGAGAGCGCATCCAACAGTTCACCCAAGATCACCTCTCTGATCCAAACAATATCAACGCGGTAGATCAGTCTGTTGTGAAAGCAATCTGTGAGAGACAGCTCACCTATAGTGCCAGTCCTGATGATGAGAGAGAGGGAGATACAGATTGTGTTGCCTTGGTGGAGACTCTTGCAATGTCCCCTAGTGCTGTGCCTGATAGCTATGGGCAAGAAGAACAGTTTGGAGGTCTGCCAACCATTCCCCACCTAGCTGAAGCAGAGCTAGCAGCTAAGCAGAGGGCCGATCAATGCATAAGGCATGTTATCTCCCAGATCAAACATGGGGACACACCACCCCCCACCTTGCGCACCCAACTCCCTGACCTCCCACTCCTCCTCCGAGAACTAAACCGTCTTGAGCTCCTTAACGACATCCTGTACAGGCGACGCCAAGTTGGGTCCCAGACAACGTACCAGCTTGTACTCCCAGCTGAGCTCCGCGACACAGTCCTCACCAGCCTGCATGACCATATGGGTCACATGGGAGTTGACCGTACATTGGATCTTGTGAGGACCAGATTCTATTGGCCAAAGATGGTTATGGACATCGAAAGGAAAGTGAGGACATGCGGCAGGTGCGTGCGGAGGAAGGCACGACCTGAAAGAGCTGCTCCCTTGGTCAACATCAGTACCACTAGACCCCTTGAACTCCTCTGCATGGACTTCCTGTCCCTGGAGGCTGACAAAAGTGGGACCAAGGATATACTGGTGATCACAGATCATTTCACTAAATTTGCGGTTGCCATCCCAACACCCAATCAAAAAGCCCGCACAGTAGCGAAATGTCTGTGGGAGAACTTTATGGTACACTATGGTATCCCAGAAAAGCTACATAGTGACCAGGGTCCAGATTTCGAATCCCGCACAATCAAGGAACTCTGTCAGGTGGCTGGTATCCACAAGGTTAGGACAACCCCATACCACCCGAGGGGCAACCCTGTGGAGCGATTTAATCGCACCCTGCTTGACATGTTGGGCACTCTCCAGGATCAAGATAAGGCTTGTTGGCGTGACCACGTAAGACCCCTGGTCCACGCTTATAATTGCACCAGGAATGAGGTGACTGGTTTCACCCCATACCAACTGATGTTTGGGCGCCAACCTCGCCTGCCAGTCGATCTTGCGTTCAAGTTGCCAGTACAAGAGGGTCAACATTCATCTCACTCTGAGTATGTGCAAAACCTCAAGTCACGTCTCAAAGAAAGCTATAAGATAGCTATGGACAAGGCCGCAAAGATAGCTCACAAGAACAAAACGAGGTTTGACAGACATGTAACTGCCTCAGACTTGGAAGCTGGAGACCGGGTACTGGTCAGAAATGTCCGCATCCGGGGCAAGCATAAGATTTCAGACAAATGGGAACACACTGTCCATGTAGTGGTGAGAAGAGCAGGCACCCTCCCAGTTTACACAGTTAAACCTGAAAACAGGGATGGTCCCCTGAGGACATTACATAGGGACCTGTTACTTCCATGTGGGTACCTACCTGTGGAGAAAAGCAGTGAGCCTGTACAAAAGCCAGTACCACGCAGGCCAGGAACCCGTGCACACCCTGCTGTAGAGGAGGAAGATTCCTCAAATGAAGAAGATGATGTACTCATTCCAGTTTATTTAGGTCCTTCTGTCCCCACAGTCTGTGACAGTCCTGTGCAGCCTGATCTACCTATGACCAATGTCCAAGATACTCAGCGTACTGAACCTCTAAGCATTCATCCTGTTGAGAGTCCGGTAAATGCTCAGAATGTTGATAGTACTCCTGACATTGACAACCCACCTGATATTGACAACCCACCTGATATTGACAACCCACCTGATATGTCCAATAGTACTTCAGATGGTCCTTTGATGTTCATTGAGTCTAACTTTCATCAAAGTGATACTGAGTACTTACCCATTGATAGAGTCACACCAGCTGAACAAGCAGATGACACAGCCTTGATTCAAAATGGCTTACCTGAGGATGAACATCCAGACGTCCAAGGAGAGCAACTTCTAGTTCCCTCGGATATGTCAGACAGTGATGAAGAAAATGATGGCATCAGAGATGCAGAGGACAGAAAGGAGGAAACAGATACAATGAAAGGAAAGGATGGAACAGTCCTAATGGAGACAGAGGAAAAAACGGATACAGATGATTCTGTCAGGAGATCTGAGAGAAACCGTCAGCCGCCACGACGGCTTGATTATGCAGAGTTGGGCAATCCTTTGATCACTGCAGTGAAATCATTCTTTCAAGGACTGTCCACAGCTTGGGCGGATGTCATAAGTGATGGTGAGGAGCCTACTCAACCCCCTGCCTTGTCCCCTCAAATAATTATCATTTAACTGTCTACCATGCACAGGGACGTGCATGAGTTCAGAAGGGGAGGGTGTAGCCCAGGTGGAAAAAGCATGCACTTGGAAGAGAGTATTTATTTATTTTTTTATTTGTTTACATTGGCAAAGTTTTAAATGTCCTATTCTATTTGAATGCATCACTCAGTTCACGCAACCCCACGTGGGGGGTACCTAGCCCTCAACAGCCAATCAGGGGCTACGCAGGCCACGTTCAGCCTGTTAGTTCAGAGGTGAAGTGCAGGCGCGTTGTTTTCCGGGTCTCTTGGATCTCAGCCGCAAAGGGAGGAGGGCAGCTACCTGCTAAAAGGACGGAATAAAAGGAGAAAAACTCGGAGTTAAACTGTGATAGGAGAAAGATAGGACCAGTGCACTTATCTACTGGGAGTCCGGAGCCAAGTGACTGAACGAAGGAGACGAGTTACGTCGGCTAACCAGTTAGCTTTCATCTTGTGAGCCACTGCAAGCGCCCCGACATCGACGTGCTCCGCTTTGAAACAGAGAGCAACGGTGAGAAACGTGTCCCTCTTAGCTGCTCTGGGGGTATTTTTCTGTTTCGCAGTGTGCTAACAAAAGCGGTGGCGGTGCTAATGTTGTGGGAGTGAATTGAGGCGAGTAATGATGCAGTGTTTTGAACATGTATATTGTATCTATTATTTTATGCCAATGTATATAAAAGGGAAGTTGTTTATTTTGTTATTGCCAATTTAAAATAAGTAATTTGATAAGTCATATGAGAGTGAAGTTACATTTTATTTTGGAAGGATATTGAAGGAATTTATTTTATTTCAATTGTGAGTTTAAAGTCACTAGGAGGGTAATTTTTGGTGCAGTTTCTCTCACACTAGTAGGCCTATAGTGTATAAGGAGTAATTAAGCACACTTTGATACCTCTGAAAGCAACTCAGTATGTGTATTTACTTTTATTTTAATTACACGTTATGTTATCCTGGTTTGATCTGGATATGATATATTTTGAATATTAATGGTTACTTACCGTGAGCCTTATGGAAACACTGTTAATATGAACAGTAACACATGTGAGTTCTTAAATATTTAGTTCTCATAATTGAACTTTGATATCTTTGAATGTTTCATGTTGTGCAACTGAAAACGGAAGATTTGAGATTTATTAAGATTTAAGATACATGTATGAGGTTGATGCCATGTGTAGCATTATGACATTTAAACCTTTAAGGATGCATCTGAGAATGAGAGTATAATAGATATGACCTTGTTTGTAGGTCAGGTTTTTTGAGAGGACGGGAAGATTCGAGGACCAGGACGTTATCCTGATTGTGTCAGATGGCGAGCCAAAACCTTTGAAGAAAAGACACCGACAAGGAGATACACACGTACACACTCACACGCATTCACACTACATTCCCATAAACATTTAATATCAGGTGCACCTGCCACAATTTTCAGTTTGAAGGGCCCCAACGGACATTCTTACTTATTTTTTTAGTGTGCACACGTTTTGTTTTCTGGTCATTTGGGTCATTGTTTATAATTTTGTATAAATTGAACATTTCTCTTATTCAATGTAAAAATATAAGATTGACTACTCAACATTTATTCCTCTGTCTGATTCATTATTGCTGCTCAACGTATTGGCTCCTAACGAATTTGGTGTCTTCTGATTCTGGCCGTGGTCTTATTACTAGTCCAACTCATTGTTATACTGTAATTCACTTTTATATTCCTAAAATTGGTTACA